GGTCCGGTCTGGCCTGGCCTGGTCTACATTCTGGTCGGGCTTGGACATGTAGTAATTAGGCCCACGGGCCTAATCTTGGGTTTAAAACACTAAGCCCGATTGTGTTTCAGGCCTAGCTCGGAATTTATCATAAAAGTCTGGTTCAAGGCTGGTTCAGCCTGACTAATTTATATAATATAAAATATATAATACTTATTAATAAATTAATATATACATTTTTTATTGTTTCTTTATAATTTATCTCTCTCTCTCTCTCTCTCTGTTCAGCCGCTTCAGCAATAATAGCAGCAACAAGTTGAGCTTTAGACTTCAGGCTCGAACCCTAATAGTAGGCCCAATGGTTAGATCAGTCTTGGGCTTGGGCCTTAAAAAATCTGTTAATGAAGAGTAAAAGCTCGGCCCGGTCCATGAACAGGTCTAGATTATAAGACTTAAGAAACTAAAACTTCTTTTACAACATTAATACTGAATTTATATGGGATTGCACCCAAGATTCTTGGTTGATTGAAATTTACTGAATTAACCATTCTGCAACATAACAAAATTTTCAAACTGTTAAAATGCTTTATAGAGGTGTTCAATAATATGTATATGATTATTGGCAAACACAAGGGGGGAGAGACAGGGGTGGTGGAGGGGAGCCATGGATCCCCCATGCCTTAAAAACTTCCCGTTCCCATTTACATCCCACTTATGTTTATTAACTTTTGCCTTATCCCTAATCCATGTTTATTTCCTTTTGACCCCAGAGAAAAATCTTGGCTCTTGTAGTGAAATCTTGATGGAGTCAAACAATATCTTGTAGTATTTGATTCCCCAAAATAAATTATGATATTTTACTAAAATAAAATAGTATGGATTCTCTATATGATTTCTTTTGTACTCAATTAATTTTTACATATAAACTTGTATGGAATAATTACCAACCGATAATAACAATAAAGTATACTACTTAGAGAACTTTTGTTTCCTTGAGTTTAATAAGACAGCATAAATTAAAATAATAAAAAGCCATATATTCCTGATGTATACAAATGTTAATAAGAAACAACATGGAATCTTGGCAATAAATTATATCTCTCCCCACTTTATTTTTTCCTCATTTAATACTGTTAGGCTATGTTTGGTTTGAAGGAAAATGCAGGGAAAGAAAGGGAAAGGTAGGGAAACTTTTATAAACCTTGTAGAGGTTTCCCTGTCTTTCTCTTCCTTTTTCTACCTTTTCCTTCAAACCAAACATAGCTTAAAGTCGCCAAAAGGCTTTGTCTTCAATATCATCCAACAAACTATGAATTTATGAAACTATAATACAAGTTAAAACTTACAAAGCTCTCAAACCCACCTGATAATATGTCTATAAAAAGGGTACAAAAAACAGCTGGTATATGTTTAGTTGCATTGGTTCTCATTTTTTCGAATTAATTTCAACCTAAATATATCTGAAATTGCCCTGAAATTAATAAATATCGTTAGATAATATAATATTATAGAAGTACTACTCTTGAAATTTATCTTTCTCAGAAAGTCTTGATCTTGGTTTCGTAATTTCATAAAATAATATGTAACCGTATATATCAACACAAGCAAATGAAATTTAACAAAGTGATTAATTAGTATATTTTATACGCTAACTATTTGTTTTCTTTTTTTTTTTTTTTTTCTGGTATTTGGTGATTCGCCCAAATCCCCCCCCCCATAGGGGATGGTGAGTAGCGCAACACCATACTCATAAGTCATAATGCACCTCTACAAAGATGGTGGCAATAGGGTTTGAATCCTTTGTTTGATGGAACGAATCAATTTTTAAGGAATCGTTCAACATAAAAGCTTAATTTGTTAAATGAGATCCGTAAAAAGGTTTTTATTCTCTAACATCAGCTAAAATGCCAATTAAACCACCCCTTTAGTTGGTCTTTCTTTCACAATTCAAATGAATAAGTTAAAACGCTTGGCTGTGGCTACTGCAGACATGCACCCTCCTTGGCCTGGTCGAATTATTGCCAAGTAATTGAAAAGTATCCTCATCATCATCTACATACGTGGGAGCTCAAGATGGCACTGATATCCAGGGTCCCTCTCTCTCATGGGAGACAGATTACATGATTGCAAGATGAACTACAAATCTATTATTATTAGTTGTAACCCATTTCTCATTATTACAGTTTGGGAGCACAAAGCTACAAACCATCAGATTGAGGGTATCTTCCTGCTAGTAATTAGTATAGTAAAGAAAAGGGAAATATATAAAATACAACAAGAGGGCGAGGGAAATATATACATTATATATGTTTGTGAGAGAAGATGGGTGGCATGAGGCCGACACCAAAAGCTTTTCATGAAATCACAAAATCATATGGGCGAGGGCGGCTCCTCACTTTTATAAACCGTGTCTGCCCTTTTCCGGGCTCTTTCTTCTTACTTTAGTTTCCAATGAACAGAAAAAAGCTGCACTCTTCAAATCCCCTTGCTTTTCCTTTGCTCGATCAAGAACACACAAAAGAAAGGTTCATGGATTAGATGAGATACGTTAGTTTCTTTTAGAAAGACCGTTGGAGGGTATGGAGTACTGTTGTGGGCTACACTCTCCAGTCTTCACCCACAGGCCCACTTTCTTTTTGGTCTTTTAAGGACAATCTCACTCATGGCCTGTCTTAGGAGGGCCCAGATCTGCTGCGAAAACAGACGTATAGAATGGACTACATAATCAATCACAAGTGAACATGCCAGTGATCTATACACATTAGACCCACATAGGTCTGTTTTACACGTATGTATTCACACCAGATTCGGACACCTCTTGGGACTGCACAACCACCAAATGCACGTTACTTATAACAATCCTATTCATGGTTTAAAGTATCAATACGATACGCCCTCGTATCTTTTGAAAAAGATACGCTTCGAAATGCCTGTTTTCAGGTGTTTTAGAACCCAAACATTTTTTTAATAATAAAAAACATGTTTTTAGTTTCCAAAAAACCAAAATTAAAAAAAAAATAGTGTTTCGGGCATTTCTAAGTACCGATACGATACTACCGATATGCATATCGTATCGATACTTCAAACCTTGATCATATTATTATGTGTAATATGTGTAGTATGGAAAAGGGAATATTCTTGGTAGTTTGTTTTTTAAGTTAGTAATAGAATAGTGAGGCACAGCCTCCTTGTATTTTATGTAGTAAATACACAAAGAAAGTGCAAAGAATTCATTCTTTCATCATGTAAACTTGTATCGTTACGTATTGATTTTATATGTAAAGTGAGCTTAGCATCAGCATCTCTCCTCAGAAGTAGAAGTTAGGAATAATAATAGGTGCCATGTGAGAGATACCTTATAGCATAAAAATCCCTAGAGATGAAAAGGGCTTAAAGCCTTTTGTTCTTGCCACGCGTCTACCCATGATTTGCATTTATAAGATTTTGTTTTAAATAAAGGGACGTGCTTAGACTTCCCTTAAAGAAAGGAATAAATGAAAGAACGGTTACAATTATTTTACTCGTATGGGAGTGGCAGATACCTGTCCAAACGGTCAAAAAAGGGAATTTGAAACTACAAAAGCAAAAGGTAAGGAGTGCCCATGTGTCTAAAGCTTTGGCCTAAAACCCATCGGCTTTAGTAATCCACACCAGCTAATAACTAGCTCATGGTGTGGCTAAGGCTATGAAGGTGGGAGGATATTCGAACCTAGTACTAATCCTGATTTATATTCTCTGTTTAATACAATCTTACAAATTGATTTCTCTCTCTCTCTCTCTCTGCTTGATCAATCCAGATTCCAGACCATAGTGCTAATGTACGAAACAGATAATACCATGTGATTTTTTACTTCAGAATTCGGTCAAGGAATAAGCATTCAGAGGTATATTTATGAGTATAAGACAAGCAAAAAATGTTCTCATTCAGAAACCAAGTAAAAAAATCTCGCGAATGTGACTTTTATGTTTCAGAAAGTTCCTGAGATCATTGTTAGTGAAGATACTCAAATCGGTTACTTTGGTCGGAAGACCTTAAGAGGTTAATGAAAATTCTTGGAGAGAAACCATGGTAGTGGCGAGTGGGATTTGGAAAAGTGATGACAGAGCCTCATTAAACCATTATGACCCTATATTGTGTTTCTGACTCAAATTTTCACAGGACAGAACAAGGAGCGATGAAGATGTAAGGTGCATGCACCATACACACAAGAGAGATCCATGTTAATTTGGATCTGAGACCATATTTAAGATGGTAACTTGTACCGGAAACGAGTTCATACATGTGGCTCCAATCTGATCCACGCATTTGGGTGGGTGGAATGGGGAACCTTACACATGCTTTGCAACATCCTGATCCCATGTGTAACGTCATATGTTTATTGTTTCCAACTCCTAAACCAGAATCTATTTTTTTTTTCACGTCAATTGGATCTAAATCCCAGCCCCTGTAAACATAGACAAATTTGAGTGGGCCTCCGATCTTACCCACTTCAATACATGATCGGTTACCCTCTTTGCAGCCCCCCCCACCCCCCCCCCCCAAAAAAAATAAAAAATAAATAAATAAAATAAAATAAAAAACATGGATGTAGTGGTCATATTTCCACAAAGAGGGAAATAAAGGTAGGATGGTTGGGTTCATTGATTGGGTCAACAGAGCTTTTCTAAAATAACAATGCCGAATTCCCTAACTCCTTGCGCTCTGCTAGTGCTGACATGCCATATATTTCCATGGGAAGTCTGGCTCACGTTAGTGCACGACAAAAGGACGCATGATCCAATAAAGGAAATTGACACATGGAATGGATCTTAATCTTCCACCTCAACAAGATGTTTCTGATAGACGCATCAAAATTCAGCCTCTAAGGACCTGTTGAATCTAAACGTTTCATTAGCATTTCCACAAAAAATATAATATCCAGGTGCTAGCTGTGTGAACTGTTAAGGAAGATTTTCTTACAAATCCCAGATGGGGTGTGAAATCGACCAGAGGGATAATGTAGTGAATGCAACATGGAAAATTGAAAATTGGTAATGTTGTGGATACTCTAAATTTATGTAACGGGAAAACCGGTAAATATGAATGCAAGGACCTCACTTCACTATCAAAGACAAGAAACAAGGAATACATATTGAGCCACATTCCCAATCTCTAAGCGATTATTTATACAATAGCCTCAGTCCTAAAGCACTAAGCCAAAGGGACACCATAAACATAAATGAAAGTGCCACGACAGTGATGCTAAAGGGAGAAAAAATTACACTAAAACTAAATACACACGTATGCCCTCTTGTAGCTGAGGTGAGTTCCTTGCATCAAGGCTCTCCATGACTCCATGAGAACAAGATGAGTTGATCATAAACTCACCGGAGGGTTCCCCTGCAAATAACAAATAAATATAAAAATATGTAAAATGGCTTGCTCTTGGTAGTCATTTGAGAAAATCTATCACTCTGGAGCAGATTCTTATGTCTTTAGGAGCTTTAGTTGAATAGCGATTGGGTGGGTAACCAGTGCAGGTGGGGTTGGGGGGATTTTAAAAGAAGAAATTTTCAGAGCCCAAACTTTCTTTTTCCGGTTCATAAAAGAATAACATCGACTACTAATACCCTAGGTGTTATGGCATTTGGTAGACCTGGTAACCCCTGAAAAGATTGATGTATGATATAATAGAACGAGGCACGTTAAAAAACAGGGCAAAGATGCATCCTTCCAAGAGATAACTCAGTAACTGATTCAATCAGTTGTAACTTGGAAGTTTGTCTTTGCCTTCAAGTGATTATTTAAGCTGGTTCGGACATGCAGTTCAGTCTATTTTTGCAATACCCTCTATTATCCCTCAAATTTCAGCCTTGGATTCTACCTCAAGAACCAGAGTTTACTTTTGAATGTGGCTTGATATTAATTCTGCATCAAGAACCAGAACTTGCTTTTGATTGTGTGGCCTGATATTATTGGATTGGAGAAAAGTGGATCTTGAACTGATCCCAATATAATCAGGGAGAAAATAGAATCAGACCTGAACTTTTGGTATCTAAATATCAATCCTAGATTTGCCATATTCAGATCAGATGGTGGGGACAACCCCTGTTCCTGGCTCAGTTTAGGAAGAGTGCAAATACAAATATGTAAAATGCAAAACCTTGTCTATTGTATTTCTAAACCATGTATTTGTACTGTACATATCTGTATTTGCACTCTTCCCACACTGAGCCTAAAGTATTCATACACCAAACAGCTACTGGGGCCAGCTGGTCAGTCAGGATCTGGGGACATCAACTATTAGAGAATGATATTTTGCCCATTCATACTGCTTCCAGAAAAACAAAAGGTTATCCAGATACGCAGGACTCAAAAAAGGCCTGGACTCACCTTGAACAAAAGATCATATGCAATGTGCTCCCAGGGTAAAGATATGGACATTAAGCAGCACTTGAGGGGAAGCATCTCATCATCAGGTCTCATGGTAGCAGCAGCAGCGGCATAGGCATGCTTTGCTGCTACAGATGCAGCTGATGCTGCTCTGCGGACAATTGAGCCAATACCGAATCCCCTTTGGGATATCTGAAGTGGTGAATGAGGGCCTGAAAACTGCTGGCTTTGATCTACAAGAGGTAACGCTGTCTTAGATACAAATTTACATAACATCTTTCCTACAAAATAAATGGGGGCTCTAAAAACAAACCAAGTCATCCAAGAGGAGCAACTGAGCAAAGAATTTTAGATAGATACTAAATGAATTTCAATAATAACCAAATCTACCATCTTCTAAATTGATTTTTTTGACGGAGTTTGAAATATGGCAGAATGGGTCCAAAAACCCAGATGCCTGTTGGAACCATTCTAAGCTCATCAACCATCTCTGATGGGTGTTGTTAAATGTGATTAACAATAGCATTTTTTTTCTTTGCTTATACATGGTATTTGCAAGGGGGTTCAGGTTGGGGTGTCCTCAAGGGCATGCCATACTGTGTGAATGAACCTTCTAACAAGCATACCCAAACCTGTGTTTCCTGTGAGGGAGAGGTAGGGGTGTTTAAATTCGGATGATAAACTGAAAACTGAATGGACCAAACCAAATAAGCTAGTTCAGTTTGGTTAATTCGGGTATTGATATGGTTTGATTTTAGTTTTTCTAATTGGTTATCGGTTTCGGTTCAGTTTGGCTGAGATTTTCAACCGAACCGAACTAGTGGTTTTAGTTAATTAAGTATATTAAATATATAATATTCTATTTAATACTTTATACTTAATTACTTATTAATTATTATCTTTCCCAATGGCCAATTCAGCAATTCTCCATTGGCATTGGGCTATGGGCCTATTCTAACTTTTAATTAATAATAGTTAATTAAACCATCTAAAGATTCTAAACCACTAAAATATTAATTAAAACCATTGGGCTTTGGAATCATTCTAACTTCTAATTAATACCACTTATTAGTTATTAATTATTCATTAATGGTTTATGTGGAATCAGGATGAATGTCTACTATTTATGTGGAATCAAGGCCCAACTGAATTGAAAACTGGACCAAACCGAACTGAATTCGGTTAGGGTTGGTTCGGTTCTAAACTCTAGTTCGGTTGGGGGAGATGGTCAAACTCAGTAGTCGATTAGGTCCTCGGTTCTAACTGGACCGAGCCGAACCGACCGATTGTACACCCCTAGGGAGAGGTGTAGCACTAACTATTACAACCAAGGTTCAAAGTATCGACACTGGCCGATACGCCTGTGTTGGTGCTTTTTTTTTTTAGTTTTACTTTTTTTTTGGAAATCGGTTCAGAGGGGCCGGTTTATGGCCCGGCTACCCTCTGAATCAGTGGCTGACCCAATACAACCCCTGTAGAGGCGTATTGGGAAGCCACCGGCACGATACGTATTGGCCAATACATATCAATACTTTGAACCTTGATTACAACTAACATGCCAAAAGAAATTTCTTTTACTTACTATCTTTTCTTGAGAAAAGTAACATGTTCGTTGATGCAAGCAAAAGATGTACATGAGAGGATGTAAACACTGTACATCAGATACCTTTGGCTTAAAAAAAGTAAAAAAAAAAAACAGATATACTACGTACTTCTTTTTGAGAAAGGTTAAAAGAGGCATTAGATATACTACGTACTTCTTTGAGAAAAATAACATGTTCATTGATAGATCTTGATTCTTGAAGAGCTCCATCCTCAAAACAAAAATTAGGGAGGACTAGAATTATGGCTCTATAAAAAACCCTTCAACCTCATTACTGAGTTTTGACCCCCAGAAATCCACCACCTTACTAGGGAAGAGGCTAGATTATCTACAATCTCAATTAGGAAGTTAGCCAAACTCCATGGGCCTGAAGCAGCTACTCATGCTCATCTATTCACATCACCAAGAACAAAAAGTGGCCATTTAATATTCATGATTCTAGTTAATAAGGCAGCAACCTCAGCTTTGGAGCATCAGTTTCACTAGTTGGGCTACTAAAATACCATATAAGTGATCCATCCAGGTTATACCTTATAGAAGCCCTCCATTTCCAGCCAGACCTAGGTTCTTCACAGAACTTCCCTGGGAATAAGATAAATAGGGTTGATATGGAAGATGCAAGTCTCCTGTTTGGATGACTGAAGGTGATATGATCAAAATGATATTGGGGATGGATAACAAGGAAATTTACATTGAATGAATAATTTCCAAATTAGTGGAAAACTCTACTTTAAGATGTAGAAAACTAAAAGGAATTCCAAATTAGTGCATTTTTCCACTATCATTGGTTTTATATAGTGAGGAAAAGAGTGAAGAGGACGTCACTTATAAAATTAGAGCAGGGTAAATGAAGTCTAGAGATGCATATAGAGTGTTGAATGATTGAAGCATAGTTGTCAAGGCATTGCCAAGCAACTAGGTGCCCTTGGTTGATGGCCTTGCCTGAACACCTTTGATTATAGTAACTAGGCATCCATCTAGGCAATTAGGTGTTGCCCAGGAGACAAATATCACAAGGTGGGAGCCTTATTATAATATCATTACTATGGCTGCATCTTACTAATATGTGTCAATACATTCTATATATATTATTTATGCTTTGTTTTAAAATTTTACTAAAATATCCAGGAGTTGTGAGAAGATAAAGGACAGAACAGTTTCTTTTTCTTTTGTTTTTTTCTTCTACTCACTCTCTCTCTCTCTCTCTCTCTCTCTCTCTCTCTCACACACACACACACTTTGTCACACACATTAAATAAAACAGTGGCTCCACACTTTTTGTTTTTCTCTTACTCTCTATCTTAAAGTTTTGTCATATAAAATTATAGCATTCTTTAGTTCCTAATTTGATATGGCATTGCTCTATTAAATACTTATTATGTTAGCATTATTTTTGACAATATTGAAATTAATATATTGAAAATACTGTCATCTTTTGGATATGATAATTTGCCATATTTTGAGAAGAAATTTAACATTTTTAATAAAGAGAATTACTATTTTTAATTAATATGCATTTACTTGGCAGTTGAGGATTATACAACTCAACTTTTTTTTTCACATCCAGGATCCAATTGCCTTCCCATGAATGCTTAGAGACCCAGATCAGTGGCAGCCGAGAACACTTAATTATGAATCAAAAGGTGCCTGAGAAAAGGGCATAAATAATTCCAGTTTGAAAAATCTTTTAACACAAATGAAAAGGTGAACCAAGAAAAAAAATGTTTGCCTACATGTTATAGCATATTTAAAACTGCTACATTGGTAATAACCAAATATACATTATTCCAAATCTAGTTTTCAGGATTTAATTTTGTGCAGTTCATTCTTCTAGGCTCTACAACAGCAGTAGATGAAGTGGAAAAAGGTTTTTGCTTACCTGCAACACCAGAAACAGCTACTTCAACTTCCCCACGTCCGCCAGGACCTTTCATGTAAAGTCTATCTGGTTTAGGAATATGACCAATTGACAAAAGACTCCCAAATCGAGACTTTCCAGCTGGAAAATGGGAAATAGAAAGATTAATAATTAACACTATAAACAACATAGGTTAATTCAGCAACTTTCTGTTCTCCATACTTAAAAGGAAATGCAGGGGAACAGAAAAAGAAGGGAAAAGAAATTAGATTATAAAGTTGGTCTGTGACTGGATGCCAACTTTTTAATATTTGAATGATAATGGTAATGAAAACACCACCAATTCTTTTAATAACTTTTGCATTGCTTCAGGTATAAATATAAGATCAAGATTTATGAGAAGATAAAACAAAGGTTCATGCTAGATGTCATCCTACAAGCCGCCTCCATCTGGGCTTTGGACCAGCAATGCAAAACAAAGCTTGACAGGAGCTGATGATTTTCACATTGTCACAAGTACGATTAATACATAGATAGGATTGCAAAAATTTTACAACCATTAATTAATGGAAGCTAGCTTTTATAAACAAAAAATGGTGAAATGTCTATGCCAGCAAAAGATGTACATAAAATTTAATAAGAGGCAAAACTGTCAAGCTCAAGAATTTTGGCAGTTGTGGAATTGTTAGGCTAGGATGTTTCTTACACATCTGCCCTTTCTCAATGCCTGCATCTAGAACCAGTGGAATTGGATTAAAAATTTCTCAAGTTTTATTTGCAACCAAGAAAGAAACCCTCTAATCCATTTGATTATTACAATTTAACAGCAACAATGACCCCCTCATGTGAATCAGGGCAGGGTAAGTTGAGCAAATAAAGAAAACAAGTGAAAAACTTCATTAAATTGTAGTAATAATTAATATACCTACAAGACGACAGTTCTAATACATTGATCGGGTTACCAATTAAAAAGAAAAGAAAAACCTACAAAGAATATTGTCTGGAAACAGGGGGGATCAACCTGGACAGGAGCTTGGTTCACTATTTGACTGGTTTGACCATGTTCAACCAGTTTGACTGTCACATCAATACTACACTATAAATAGACCAATAAAATAAATATAAGAAAAAACAGAAAGAGTAAGTGCCAGTTAAATAGTATCTACTTGTAGAAAATTTTCAGATATTCTTAACTTTTGAGGAAACTATAAAATTGTAGTTGTTCCTCATCCTCTTTTTGTCAATGCCTCAGACTACTTCGCCTTCAATGGATTTAGTAACCATTGTTCTGGAATTTAAGAGGAAGTATGGGTAAACACCACTTTGTTTAAAATCCATCTTGAATTAATGCACAATACAACCCATCAACTGAATCTAGTTGACTTATCAAAAGATGAAGGCTAGTTGAAGAAGTATGCATCAACTGAAGTCTATGTAGCAGAAAGCAGTCTTGTTTATGCAATTCATTTTTTTTTCTTTTTTTTCGATGGGTAACTTGCTTATTTATGCAATCTGAAATAGAGATACCTTCATATGCATCTCGAACCATCTGATAGCTGACAAATCCCGAGAAGAGAGTAAGCTGCAAACATAAATATAACAGTGTCAAGAGATTCTCATAGATTTTATTTCCATGTAGCACTCCATTAGTTAAAAAAATCAATGAGCAAGTTTTTTTTTTTATCAGAAAAATCAATGAGCAAGTATTGCACTTCAAACTAAATGCCCACATGATGAATGCTACTGTGTTTGATTTAAGAAAAGCATTAGTTTGAAGTCACATCTACAGTAGTGGAAAATGTGCTTAATGCTTAGAATCTGATACTAACACAAAAGTTATTTTACCATATTACCACTGGCTCAAAATGCTCAATGGTGAAAATTACTTTGCAGACACTTGTCTCAATGTTTTTTTGGATCAATAACAATTTATATTAATTAATTAGAGAAATAATTACAGCACTGTAGAGAGAGGTAAAAAGACTTAACTCTCCCCTAGAGAACAAGATAAAAATTACAATACAGCCCAAAATATTTGATCCCTTCCCACTCCTTGCTTTGCCAAAGTGTCTGCAAATCCATTTGCTATTCTCTTCACCCATTTCCAGCCCCCTAGTTAGCCATTTAATTTCCCTCCTCTCATTACCAAATTTCCACAGTCCACTACTCCACTATCCTTCTGTAACCAGCTTAAAACCACCTTAGAATCACCTTCAACAACAAGCTTTTGTATATTCAGCTCCTTTACCTTCCTTGTACCCTCCAGTACAGCATGAACCTCAGCTCGAAGAGAGTCCCCCTCCCCAATGGGACCTGAATACATTGCAATCACCTTTCCATTCTCATCTCTGAAACCCCCCCTATCACCCATCTCAATATTGCAACTGCCAACTGCCTATTATAAGATATTATTTATGACTCCGAAATTTTTTAGAATTTCATTCAACTTGGTTTTCTATATCCGTTGTTTAAATATCTAGAGGAAAGAATCATGAGAATCTTACTACTCTGAAGTTTCACCCAATGAACAAAAATACTTCCATTTGTATTTTCAGTGAGAAAATGTTATATACAACTTAGGTTGAACTTTGTCTCAAATTAGTAAGATTTCTATTTGAATTTTTCTCATCTTTATAAAAAGGTGGTTTAGATTTTATTGTCATTGTAGCATCGAAAACCTATAAGAAATAGGTATAAGTGGAGCATTTAGAGATATAGGAGAGACATTCTACTAGTATACTTGGGACCCATAGGACTTGGACCAGCAAGAATATTTGGATTTAGAAATCTGCTTAAGGAGTAGATCACAAACAATTATTGGTTGACTGAATGGAGAAACAGAAAACCTTGGCTCTTCAGACACCAAATTAGGGAAGCAAGAAATCTGGCTGATACTGTTGAAGCAGATTGTATCTTTCAATCTGTTAATTCTCCTGCCGATACCCTACCCTGACAAGGGATTAGTAACGGGCACTAACCTGCGGCTGAACCCCTTAGAGTAAATGAGCTTTATATATGAAAATTAGTCTATCAACAGTTAGGGGGAGCAGCAATGGGCTGGCTTGGCTGTAATATCTTTTGGGATGTAAATGAACTTTATATATGATTATCAGGTATTGAATCTATTGATAAAAAAGTACCATTTGCACATAATCTGAAGCACAAAATTTGTATTCCCTTCTATATCACACACACACACATAAAACCTTAATTGGACAGGATGGGGTCAAATATGCATCCAATCCGGTTATTACATGGATGCAGGTTCTAAGATCTGAATATGAAATACTCAGACCAGATGCAGGTTCTATTGACAGCATAAATAGCACAAATAACTGAGATTCATCAGACCATTTTTTAGTTATTTCAAAAACACATAACTGAAAAACAACTTAACCTTAGATTTCTTCACCCTTCCAGAATCAGTGTCAATCGTCAAGGAGGATTTATTACTAGAGCTGGAACCATCTACTTCTTTTTCAGTAGGAAATGCTGCCCCGTCATGTGCATTGAGAAGCACACAGTAGCAGTGATCTGTTTCTGTCAAAACCTGCAAATGGTTTAAGACAAATAATAATACTATTGAGTAATAACCGATAAACCACAAATAGATCAGAGAATAACTGGAGATTTTTTATGGTAAGCACTACTCCAGGCAAGTTGGACATAAAAGGTAAAACAAAAGAGAACAATATATTTTGGTAAGGGGTATTACAAATGGAATAGATCCATGTGCCAAAAATACAATCTACACTGGTCTGTAAGAATTATATTCTACCGCAGCTATCTTGAAATATTGAAACCTTTGCTCAACATGTCTAGAAGACCACCAGAATAGAAATGACTATTAGGCTTTTTTCTCCATCTTCTCAAATGGACAATGCCTTTCATTAAGAACATGCAATTTTTTCCATAAAGCCCAAAACAAGGCAAAGGTGATTCCCCTAACATATGGCTTTTAGTGCTACAAGCAGTTGCAGGTCATGTAACTCATTCAGGTCTTGCAAATCACCAAACACAAAGCATAACTTTAATGAAAGAAGATCAACTATCAAGATTATATACTTGATAAAAAGATTTTCTTATAGGAACCAGTGAGTAGAGTAGTAGACATGTGCTGTTGTACATGGTATTAAATAGTGGATAGAAAATATAAGAAGGTTCACTTTATAGAAAAATTTTTGTATGCATTCCATGCACGCCAGGTTTCTACTTTATATGGTTAACAAGAAATGTTTCACAACACTGACAGTAAGGTATATTACACCAATATATACACAGGAAGAGAACAACCCATTATCATATGAAAAATAGAGACTACCTCAAGGATATACTACCTAATTATGACTAGTGTTTTAGATCTGGAGGTTCAACCGTTTTTGCCTTCAGGTTGTGGATCAGCAGTTCAACCTGTGACCCAACGACCAGGTCAAAGGGTCAATGGTTCAATCACCCGGGTTGGCGGGTCTTTGACCAAGTCAATGGTTTTTAATTGGTTTGCAGGACTCTAACATGTTAAACGATGAATTCACACGACCATAACACTTCCATGCGACCCTCCAGTAAAACACAAACATGCTATCAATCCAATGAAAAACCAAACTACTAAATGAGTGCATGCCTAAGTGATTTGGTTTCCATGAGTACATGTCTTTTTCCAACCCCAAATGATACAAAAATAACCCACTAACATATGAAAAAATAGAAACTACCTCTAAGGTCTAATACCTTACCATGAAAATCAAGAAATTCCAAGGTAGCCTAACATGTGTTATGATGTTTTCACATGGTCACAATACTTGTGAACTTCCAATAAAACACTTACATGCTATCAATCAAAATAAAAGCCAAATCACCTAGTAAGTGCACGTGATAACAACGCTTCTTGTGACCTTCTAATAAATCACGGACATGCAAATAAGCAAATTTAAAACAAAATCACCTTGTGAGTTCATGCCTAGGTGATTCGGTTTTGATTAGTCCACATGGTCACAACACTTTTTTGCGAGTTGCAACCGTCCAATAAAACAAAGACACCCATCCAATGATTTAAAAGGTGTGCCTAGGCGTAGGCGCACAGGCGAGGCACATTTTAGGGTAGGCGCCTTGCCCAGGTCCTAGGCGCAGCCCTTTCAAAAGGCGCACGCCTGGTGTGCCTAGGTGTGTGACTAGTGTGCCTTGCGCCTAAGCCCAGGCGTGTGCCTTCTGAAAATTTGATGCTTTTTTTATTTTTTTGAGTCTAGCGGCTGGGCCGGGGGCCCCTGTGCCACACCCCTCAAGGCAAACCCAAGCAAAGTCCATGTTAGGGTCTTAAATTCTTAGTAATGTTGTTCGTTCATTCATCCTAATAAAATATCTTCTTAAAAAGCAAATAAAACTATAAAGTCATTATTTTTTTGTGTGAGAACTAAGAATTTAAGACCCTAACATGGACTTGCTTGGGCTTTCCTCGAGGGGCGTGGCACAAGGCTACCTCTAGAATATACTACCTAACTATGATAATCAGGTAATACCAAGGTAACTTAACATGTATTGTGATGCCCAGGCGATAAGGCGCTCATGGAAGGTTGCCTCACTTAATCGCCAAGATACTTTTTTACATGGTGCTCTTAGATACTTCTATATTCTTAACTTTTTTTTATCAATCTTTTATATTCTTAACATTTGCTTGAAATTGTAGTGAAGTGGTTAAAAGAGGACAATTCCGAGCTTTGGAACTACAGCAATGAAAAGAGGAAATTTAGGTGGCTGAGTAAGGACATGGAAGTTAGTTATACATGGGTAAAGAGAAGTGCAAACTCATTGGAAGATGGTTTAGCTAGGCAAGGGGTGAACAGAAACTCTATTTTTTGGGCTGTTTTGTAATTGATTTACAGTTTGGGTGTACATTGATGTATTAGGGAGTTAAGATTTTTTAGCTCCTTAACTATGTACTTTCTCAATCTTTAATAAAATTCACTGTTATTGATCAAAAAAATCTTTTATATTCTTAACTTTCTGAGAATATAATAATGAAATGGACATTATCAAACTAAAATATTCAAGTTGAGTTAAAATACTAGTTTCTTTTTATTATTTTTCTTATTTGTTAGGGTTCAATCATGATGTATACTGTCTTGAATCCTTAAAGGCTTCAAAACCTGAACTAATAAGCACAGAAGAACACCTTCCTTTCATCCTTCCTTTTCTTTTTTTCTTTTCCTAGGACAAAAATAGAGGCTCAGCCCCTCCATTTTTTTGAAATTTCTTTCCCTTTTTTTTTATTGGAAACGGTTTGAAATTTCTTTCCTTTCTTCCATTTCTATTCATGAATATGTTGATTTTCTATGTTTTAAATAAACTTTATACATTTTTAATGAAGATTATAGACAATTAATAGTTACGGCTGCAGATTTCTATGGAAACTAGGGAGTTACCCTAGGATTCATGATTTTTATTCAAAAAAAATCGCATCGTCTAGGTGATAAGGTGCACCCTATTGACTAGTCTCACCTCGATGCCTTGAAAACTATGCATTCCTAAAAATGACACTACCAACTTCTAGCTCCTTTCTTTCACAATACCCACAAATGAACTCCATGATAAAAATCCAAATAATGACACTACCTACTTCTAGCTCCTTTCTTTCACAATACCCACAAGTGAACTCCATGATAAAAATCTAAATAATGACACTACCTACTTCTAATTCCATGATAACCATCATATTTCTTTCTAGCAATTTTATGGAAAGCTTTATCTGGTTCACCATGTATCAGTCTTCTATTTCGATATACTCTCCTTACACCAAGACCTTCTTTTCATTTAATGGCAGAACAAGTGAAGAACTTAGCAGCCAAATGATGTGTCACAGTTCCTTATATTATCCAATCACATAATCTCTGAATAGGCATTGATGAACATGTGAGTGTACTGGTTTACAGAAGTTGCTAAAACCATGTACACAAGAAATACTTGTTGCCTTTTTTCTTCTCTTAGGGGAGCAGCTTGGGTGGGCTTGGGTTGAAATTTGTTAAAATTTGAATGGGTCCACCCTAGAGGGCTTGGGCCTGATGTTCTGTAAATTCTTTAAATTCGGCACCCGACTTGCACCGTTATTTTCTCTTCATAATATGCTATTACAATTGTTGGAAAACGTGGGGTTACTGGTTCAGATCTGAAAATAGAATTGTATATATTCCTAGGATTGTGGAAGGATTGATTTAGAAAGTTTTTTCTTTCTATTTCTTTCTTTCTATTTTTGTACTTTCTATTTTCTCTTCTTTCTATTTTTTCTTCTTTCTATTTATTGCAGCAGCTTACTGTATAAATATGCCCATTGGCAATAGAATGAAACATATCAGTATTCTACCTTTCCAAAACATGGTATCAGCAGCTTACTGTATAAATATGCCAGTTTTTTTGTGTTTTTCTCTTCTGGCCTTCAGTGTTGATCTGTAACCAGAAGTGTTCCTTTATTCTCCTTTCCTGCTGGCCTTATTTTTCCTCTTCCTCCATTAACAATGTCCGACATGACTGCAACAAGTGCTCCCGTCCAAACCGATGAAGGAACAACAAATTCT